CTTTAGGGCCTCTTGGGGGCCTCTTGGGGACCTCTTGGGAGTCTCTTGGGGCTCCTTGGCGGCGTTTTGGAGGCCCCCAGGGCCTCTTGGGGGGCTCTTGGGGGTAGTCGATTGCGGCTCCCCCCTCGGAGGCCACGATCCTCGTGAGGGGTGTCGAAAAATACCCTCCCCTGGAGTGGTCTGGTGGCTTCTCCCGGGCTTCTCTCGGGACCTTGCCGGGGTACTTTTCGTCCGGGGGCCCCCAGGGGCCGCTCCGCGCGCGCGAACTAGAAATATTGTTAACAAGTTACCGGAGATCTTAGCACGCCTCTGGCCCGTTGGGCCGGCGAATTAGGCCTGCTGCGCTCCGCTGGAGCAGCACAGGCCAGACTGGGGACCCCTTAGGCGGCACGCAACCGCGAGGGGACCCAGCTCTCAGGCACGAGGCTCCCTCCCCCTCCCACGACCCCCACTCCCACGACCAGACGACCCCCTCCCCCGCCCACGTCCTCGGCCTGGAGCTTTAGCCCTGGGTGCATGCACTATCGGCGTCTGCGGCAAAGCCACATTATCATACGTGGGAATGGCGACAGTCTCACACGTCGGAAGAAGCCCCCGCTCTCGAAGCTCTCGGAAGCGCACACTGCTGGAGAGGGCCTCGGGAACGGGGCGAGAGACCGAAAAAAACGCCAGGCCCGAAGACGCACTAGGTTCCAAAGCGTGAGACTGCCCTGCACTACTCTCCCTCGCACCCCCCTCACTCTGCTCAGGTCCCGTCCTCGAATCTCCTACTTCCTGGCCGCCAGCAGCGAGGCGATCTCCCGCTCGAGAGGGCCACGGGGGGCGGCTCCTGACAGGAACACTTCGCCCTCGAGCTGGATGAGGGTCTCCATCAGCGGGGCCACCACCCTCCCGAAGTCCGTCGACAGGTCGAAGTTGAAGAACAGCGTGCACTTGTGCTTGCCCCCGTCCGATGGCTTCTTGTGCACTTTCACACGGAAGTACAGCACCGCTCGAGTCAGCTCCTGGGGTGTCATCGTCATCAGCTTCTCGGCGCGGACCTGCTCGAACGCCTTCTTGAGCTGCTTCTCCTGTTCCTGAGTGGGCCCAGCCGAGGGCGTCATCTCCGCGCCGTACAGGCACGCTCCCGTGAACACGTGCAGGTGCGGGGGGCCGCGACCTCGCCAATCCACGGTCTCGCCTGCCTTTGCCTTCTCTTTCAGGTCGCGGCTGATCTCGTCGTACTGCTGACCCGACTTGACCGACGTGGCGACCAGGCCCGTGTCCACTGGCAGCTCGTAGCGCTTGAACGTGTTGGCCGCCACGTCTGCGAGCTCGCGGGAGTTCGCCAGCTGCAGCTGACCGATTGCCACGACCAGCCTGTCTTTGTCCTTCGCCTGCACCTGTCCCTGTTGCCGTCCGTGCTTCGGCGCGCGCTCGTCTGGAGCACTGCCTTCTCCCGCCCGCTTGTTCACCGTCGCGATGTGGCCACTGAACCACGGTGGGAGCTGACCGCCCGAGCCCGCCGCCGCGCCGTTCCCCGCCGCCTCTCCCTCGGGCATCCCCCTCAGTGTAAGGTTGTAGCTCAACAGGCAGATGTGTGAGCAGGTGCGCACTCAGGTTCAGCAGGTTCGAGCCTTCAAATGGGCAACTCGGACAGGATAACGATGTAGGCGCAATAAGTTTCCGAAGACTGTAGGGCCCCGTAGTTCGGCAGTGTCCCCTAGCTAAGGATCCTTGTAAGTGTAATGCTGCATTGGCCTGGCTCGCGAATGTCTGGAGGCAATTGATGCAACTGCTCGTGGGGGTCAGGAACCTACACATGTTCCGAAGATGATGCACTTGTCGTAAATGATTCATGAGATTTCTCCGAGACGTAAACTTGGCCCCACAAGGTATATCTGATCCCTCTACCTTCAGCCAGCAACAGAACTCTGCCTCCTCTTCTTCAGGAGCGGTTTCTGGGACCGACGACGGCGGAGGGGCCCAACCAGGAGGTGCCACACGAACCGAAAAAAAACGCGCACGAAGTTCAGAAAAATCAACTGCCTGTAGGTCTTCTGCCCTATCTTTATCCCCCAGAACAGTAAGATCCCCCACAATATCATCGAGAATGTCCAGCTCCAGCTCTCCCGCCGCCCAGACAAAGTCCTTATAGAGTTGTGCAACCCAGGGCGATGCAAAGGCGGTTGGCTGACCATTCACAAGTGGGGGACGAGGGCGACGACGACAAGGAGGAGGGAGGAGGAGGAGGAGGAGGAGGAAAGCGACGACGACAAGGAGGAGGGAGGAGGAAGAGGAGAAGGAGGAGGAGGGAGGAGGAGGGAAGCAGGATGGCGACAGGCTTCGGCAGCGGGCGGCGGGATCCGAGCGCGCCGCCTCGCTCGAGGCCCCCGCATGTGGCTTGCAGCTCGCTCCCGCTCGAGCGCTACCGCCTGGGCCACCCTGCACCTCCATCTTCCATACGGTAGGGTCGTGTCGTGTCGACCGGCGGCGACCGCAGCGTGGGCGTTCAAGGTTGAACGCCGCCAGCGACCCAGAATCGGTCGATGTTGAAGGATCGCACGTCTCGGAAAGGGCCGATCGTTCAAGGTTGAACGATCCCCGAGGTGACAGAAACCATCGCTGGGGTCGACACGACGCGAACCTGCCGTACCTTCCGACCTCTGCGGAAGTTGCGGAAGGCGATGCATTGAAACCATTGGAATCTTCGGGAGACGCAAGAACATTCAGCGTCGTTTCACGAGGCGCAAGAGTGTGGAAGGTCAGCACGGAGGGTCTGGAAGAATGAGGGCGAGGGCACCTTCAGCCACGCGCAGAAGCAGGAGCAGTGAGCATCGAGGCGGGAAAGCGGATCGAAGCGGAACGCGTACCGAGTCGGACTGTACCGGCACGCAGCCGAAGTCGAGTCCAACCAGCAGCGCCAGGTTGCACAGCCGCGCCACTTCGCGCATCGGATCGCCCGAACATCGGAATCGAGTCGGGCTGGTCGGAGCCGATCTCAAATCGGATCCATCGGATCGTGAGGGGCCAGCCTGAGGTGTTGGCGGCACGCATAGGGGGTAGGAGGATGGGGGAAGGCCTCTTAAGGCCTCACATCTAAGAGGCGGCTTCCTAAGAAACCGTCCGTCCTCCCTCTACCGCCTAGTGCGCGCCGCCAACACCTGGGGCTGGCCCATTACGATCTGATCCATCCGGTTTGATACCGGCTCCGGCCAGCCCGATTCGACTCCGATGCTCGGGCGACCCGATGAGGCCCGATGCTTGCAATGGCGCTGTTTGTGCATCCTGGCGCCGCCGATTCGCTTCTGTTCCGACTCCGCGACTCCCCTCCGCGCCGTTGCGGCCCGATGCGATACGCGTTCCGCGTCGAGCCGCTCTCGCGCCCCGATGGCTCCCACTGCTCCCGCATCGGGCCGGCCCGCGCAGCCTCGCCCTGCCTTGCCGTCGGCAGCCCCGGCGGGCTCCTCTCTGGCCCCCTCGCCTCGCCGCGGGGGCCTCGCGCGCAGCCGCTCTGCGTCAGCATTTGGGGGAACGAAGAATGACATAAACATAAAAACTCGGAGGTCCGCGCGGATTTCTCGGATCGGCGCTGGGGCCACGACATGGATTGGCGGCGTGGATTGGCGGCGGGCCCCGCTTCCGGGGGGAATCGCGGACTTCCGCCGCCGAGCGAGGCGGCGCCGGCCGCATCTCGGGGAGGGCGCCTCCCCCGAGGCACGGACTTGGCGACCGCGCGCCAAGTCCATGGATCGTTTAGGGGGCCGCATGCGAGCCCTACCCCTACCCCCCACGATTTCTGGGTGGGAGGGTGGGGTTCGCTTCCCTCGAGAGCTCCCGAACGAAGTGAACCCCACCCTTCCCCTCTGAAATCGTGGGGGGTAGGGGTAGGGTTCGCGTGTGGCCCCCTATCGTTGATCCATGTTTGCGCGCCCCCGGGAGCGGGCACGGACGCCAACGCTGCGAGAGCCCTGGAAGCCGTCCAATTCATTGTGAAGTCGGGCCCGTCCCTCTACACGAGGAATAGTAAAAGATAGTAGGAGAATAGTCTGGGGACGATATGTTTGGAATTGTTACCTATTTGGGAGCATTGTTTGCCTATGTTTCATTTGTCGCCCAAAGTCCGCCCGTAGGGGGACAGCCCCGACCCGAGATTATTGAAGAAAGTCAAGCAAGAGCCCCTAAGGTCGGGCACCAGTGGTGGAAGAAGAGTTTGGCTTGTGAAGACGTCCTGCAAGTCCTCTCGGACCCTCTTTTGGCGTCTTCCACGCTTCTTGGGCAGTCTTGGGGCCATCCCGAGCGGTCTTGAAGCCACCTCTGCGTGTTGGAGCTCGTCGTGATCCGTCTTAGTCTTGGAAGGTCTGTTGAGCATCTTGGAGGCGACGGATGGGGGAATTGGAGGTTCTGAGGGCCTCAGAGGTGGTTTGACGAGTGCGTATGGGGACCCCTTATCCTCTGGCTGGATCTTGGACCCCAGGGAACTGGGAAAGAGGGAGGGGGACAGCCAATCATCTCACATGCTTTTTCTCCCTGGCAGGCGGGGGTTGGCGCATAGGGATAGTGGGGCTGCGCACAGCGTATAATACGAAGGGGTGTCATTGAGGGAGGATCGAAGAAGAGGGACACGCTAGGAGGAGGAGGGTCCGTTGGTCCCATCCGCTTCCCCGCTCTCTCTATCTCCGTTTGGATCCCTCCCCCGTCGCCAAGCCCTCCTCTCGCCTTCCCTCTGTGAAGTACCGAATGCCGCTCCTCTTTCGGCGCCCCTCCCGCATTTGCCATGCTTTTCCAGCCCCCTCCAGCCTGACCCGCCGCACCCTCTGTCGGAGGTGGATAGACCTCCTACCCTGACACGTCGATTAAGGAATTGGCCGTTTCCGATTCGCGAGAGGGCGTCGCGGCCGTTATTTTTGCGGATCCAGGTCCGTCGGTTTCGGTCCCAGCCCGTTTTCACTAAGGGGAGGTTTACTAAAGGGAGGTTTGTCCACCGCCGACTCTGCTGCCTTGCCCAGGCTCATGGACGAGGACGTGGTGCAGATCATCAAGAAGATCTGAGCCGGGGGGGGGCGCGATCGGTGCCGGCGGAGGGAGGGCACGACGACTGCCCGGAAGCGGGCCAGAGGGGAAGCCAGTGGTGCAGGGGGGAGTCCTCCTCCTCCTCCTCTTCCTCCTCCTCCTCCTCCTCCTCCTCCTCCTCCCAGGAGGGGCCTCCTGCTCGCAGCCGTAGGTCTAGTCGGGGCGCGCCTTCACCGAGCTCGCCGCCCTCGGGTTCCGAAACACAGCTCGTCGCGCGCGGCCTCCTGGGAGTGCGCAGGCACCGCCGCATCCCAAATTTGCGTCGCCCGCTCTCGGCGGGCCCACGGCCAGCGCGCCCAGCTTCCACAAGGTCCTGCATCTTGGCCATGCAGGGCTCGAGCTGAACGGTGTTTGGGCAATTTCGTGGACCGTGTTTTCGTTTTGACTTCGTTTTGCAGCACATGTGGAGCGAAGACAGAACTGGGGACGGCGAAAACAAAACCAAAACGGCAAACACTCTTTAACTCGAGCCCTGTGGCCATGTCTCGTGCACGGGGTGACCACTCTCTGCACGGCCAGACGCCGTCCTTCGGTTCCTGTTGCTCCGGCCTGGTCCCGCGAGGTGTGCCTGCGTGAGTCTAGCGAAGCCCGACTTCAGGGGTTGTCCCCGAGTGTACATTTGCCAGGTGCCCGATGGCGCCACCCTCGCGCGCTCGTGCCTCAGCGCTTCGATCGCAGAGGAGCGCCCCTTCTTGCAAGACAACGCTCATTCGGGACACAGTCGGCATGCTGGTCTGCAGAGGGGGTAAAACGACACGAAGATCGGGACAAAATCGGATCGGGATAACTCGAAATCTCTGAGAATCGGCAGGTTTGGAGGATGTATTGGGCGCCGCGGCCGCTCCAGAGCGTTCCGGAACGCTCTGAGAGCGCTCCAGAACGCTCTGGAGCGATTTATCCCGATCCTAGCCCTGTTTTAGGGGGTGCAGCGTGTAGTCTCTGCCAATCAAGAGCTGCGCAAGTATTGGTGGGCGCTTTCGGCGGCGAGCCCAGGGGGGAAGTGAGAGGGGGCAGGCCTTCTGAAAAGGCGGCCAGGCTTCTCAAACGCTCCCTGGCCTGTGAGGGGGCATCTCTGTCTTGACGCGCACTTTTGGCAGAACCCTCAAGCATTACCTTAGAGGCTTACGTCATCCCGCCGAACCCCAGAAGGGATGTGCGGCTTCCGATGTCTTCCCGTCGTGCTGCCTGCGTGCGGTTGCTGCGGCAATGCACCTCGCCATGCCAGTGCCCTCCCTTCCCTCCCTCGCGGCCGCTGTCGCCTGTCTTCCCCTCCTGCTGCCGGCTGGTTAGTGCTCTCTCCGCTGCCCAGACCGCCGGAGCGCACGTGCGCATGGCCTCTGCCGCGCTGCGACGCTTTCTTTCGAACCCCTCCCCCCTCAAAAAATGTGCAGTTGCTGCAGACTCGGCCTCCGCTCCCTCCGCGCCTGCTGCCATGCTTCTGGGAGGGGGGGGGGGGGGGGCTTCTTCGAGGCCCACGGGGGCGGCCTCTCTCGGGGGCTTTTTCTTCGGGGCTCCAGGGTGGTTTGGGGCTGGCAGCCCGGTGGGATGACCACGGAGCAGCACCTGGGCCGGCGACGATCCAAAAACTGATCTTTCGGGGCTCAAGATCGGTATCGTTCAACCGATCCCCATCCCCATCCCCATTCCCTTCGAAACCCCCACCAAATTACCACCCCAGTTGGGTTAACTGATCCCCATCCCCAGCGACGTGGCCTGGGCCCCACTAGCATTTACCCCCCTGGATGGGGATGTGGGTCGTTTCCTTCGGGCTTCGAGGGGTGCATCCCCAACTGGGGTGGTAGGTTGGTGGGGGTCTCGAAGAGGATGGGGATGTGGATGGGGATCGGTTAAACGATACTCACAAGAGACGGGGCCAGTGCAAGCGGGGGTCCGTCGGAGCGCTGGATATCTTCCGGGACTCTGCGGGGCCAGGGGCGCGCACACACTGGCCCGGGCCTGGGCGCAGGATCTCTTGCAGGAGTCTGCCAGGAGGGAACAAAAACACACAGACATAATTAATCGTCGATCCCCCAGAAAATATAGGAAAATATGGGAAGTGGGGGGGAAGACGAACACCCAGAAAATACAGGAAAATATGGGGAATCTGTTTATTTGTGTGTATTTATTTGTGTGTCCTAGGGCCCCTTCAGTCTGCCAGGGCGGACCGACCCGGGCATGGGCTGGCCCGGGTCAGCAGTTCCCCCGGTCTTACGCGAGATGGCTCGGGGGCGGCAAAGAGGGGGGCGATGACCAGGGGAAGGGGGGGATATCGTGGCGGGGGCCATGATATCTCCCCAGGTCTCAGGGCGCCTCTTCCTGCTTCATTACGTCCCTGGCCCCCCCGCTGGGCCGCGCACATGCCGCCGGCCATGATTTGCACCCCCCCCCTCTTGGACGCCCCCCTCTTGGCCGCTCCCGAATGGCATGGCGACCTGAATTACACGGTGGTTTACGCGGGCCGCTACATCGGGATAACGGGGGCGCTTACGCTCGGCTTTACGCGGGCAGCTGTCGCGCCAGTGTCGGCGCAGTCGACCCCGTTTTCTTGTGCCGCCCAGGTCTGCAGGGCCCTGTTGGGCCAGTCCTGGGGCTCTCTGGGTGGCGCTCTGGGCCGCCCCAGGGCCGTCGTGGAGGCCGTCAGCGCCATTGGGCCGCTCCTCCCCTGACCTCCATGGTGGGCCCTTTGACGAGGGCCCATCTGTCAAACGTTTGAGCAGGTGGCCGTGTCGGGCGTGGCGCCCCGGGGCCTGGTGGTCCCGCTGACGGGGGGGCGCCTTCTGGCAAAGCCGGTACAGTGCCGTTTTTAATACATGCTCCGCGTGCGGATTATGTATTAAAAATGAAGGGATTTTGCATTAAAAACAATGAGGAATATATGCAATGATTTATTTGTATATTAATCATGTATGAACAATCCCATGTATTAAAAATCCTATGTGTTAAACCCTGCCCTGTAGATTCTTCCCACTCCGCCCAGCTGACGAGGGGGCCTCGCTGTCGAGCGGTCGAGCAGGGGGCCAGGTGGCCTCGTCGGGCGCGGCGTCCGCCGGCCCCGCTGACTGGGCTGCCGCCGCGCCAAGGGCAGTGGGGCTTTCTCCCGCCCGCCCGGCCGACGGGGTCCCCCCGTGTCAAGCGGTCGACCACTGCGCCCAGGCAGGCGTGGCGCCAGGGGCCTGGTGGCACTGCTGGCAGGGGTGATGGGCACATGTTCCACCACCACTACCGTGTGTAGACCGGGGGAGAAGGGAGGATGAGGAGGTCTTCCTCCTCCTCCTCCTCCTCCTCCTCCTCCTCCTCCCCCTCCTCCTCCTCCTCCCTCCTCCTCCTCCTCCTCCTCCTACAGATGGTAGTGGTGGTGGACAATGAGCCCATCCAGGGGGGCCGCCGTGTCAAATTCGGGAAGTTTTCCCCGTCCGCCCATTTGACAGGGGGCCCCGCCGTCAGACGGTCGAGCAGATGGCCTGGTCAGGCGTGGCGCCGGAGGCCCGGGGCCCGCGGCCCCGTCGACAGGCGGGGCTGCACTGTCAAAGTCGATTGGTTTTTGCCCGTCCGAACGGTTGACAACGGCTTCCCTGTCAAACAGTCGAGCAGATGGCCTTGTCAGGCGTGGCATCATACTCGAACGGCAATCATCAGACTCGAACGACTATCGGATCTGTGACAGCCTCGAGTAGATAGATATACTCTCCGACACGCGTTCGGAGAAGCAGGTTGTGGCATCCTATCCATATGACCACTTCGTCCCACCGGGGGGAGGCCAGGGCCTCCGCGACATGAGCTGTACCAGTACGCGTGTGCCGCCCCGTGTGCAGATTTCAGCCATCCGATGTGTAGGCCTGCGTCGGAACAGTATTCGGGGTGATGACCGTTCTCTGGAACTGTACGCGCACGCCTACTTGGTGGGCCTGTCGCGTACCATGTCTGCTTACGTGCTCCATGGGGAACTCTTTGGGTGCCCCTCGGGGCCTCATGGGTTCCTGTTCGGGTTTTTTCGGTGAGGCCCTCTGGAAACGTCCTGGGGCGGCATTGGGATCTTCTTGGTCGGCGTGGGGACGTCTTGGCCCGTCTGGGAAGCCCGCAGGAGGGGGTTCTCTTCGAAGAGAGGCCTACCACTACAGAATCGCCAGCAGCCAGCCCATGAGGGCCTCGGGGCGCCCGAGTGCGCCGGGGAGCCCGGTGCAGAGAAGGCGGGAGCGGTGTTCTCGGAAGGGGATGTCCGGGTCGTGTGTGTGTGTGTTTTCCAGAGTTTGGCCCCACGGGCAGGCACGGGCGTTGGGCGGGCGACGCCCGCGACGGCAACCGTGGGTCTGTTGATCTCGGGCTCCTCGTCGCTCCAAGCCAGGGGGGGGGAGCCGCCTCGACCCCCCAAAACTTGCGCTGTCTCGTGTTCTTCCTGGGGCGAGTTTGCGGGCTTCGACTGCCGACCCGCCCGGTACGAGTCTCGTTGTGTTGCCTTCCATTCTTCCACAGGTGCTGCCTTACGCTGGCAGACAGCCAGAGGCGCCCTGTAGAAAGAAGTGTCATGTGCACTGCTGGGGCATCATATTGATGGTCTGGAGGATCACCGCCTGAAAGAGGGGGGGCAACCGCAGTTTACAGCGGCGCTGGCTACCCCCAACACGGCCCCGAATCACGCAAGATTGCCAAAGTGGGTGACAGGATGCCCCAAGACGAGACGACCCCCTTGGACCCATCCGTAGCATGTTTGCTTCAAGTCAAAATGCAGTCATGGCATTGTGTCGAACGGGAGAGTCTCATCACGCTGCTCTAAATTCAAATGCCGACTGTCTTGGATTATGCCTTGAACTACAAATATCGGATAGCATATTATATTTGGTCGCTTCGCTCACTCCGCCGGCCCGTATTGTGTCATCGCAAGCGTTTGCCTGCACGTTCGTGGCCTCTTGGAGGCCGTTTGTGGGCCTCTTGGAGCCTCTTTTTGGGCCAATTGGTCGTATTTCTGGGACCTCCTGGGGCGTCACGGGGGCCTCTTGGGGGCCTCTTGGGGATCCCTTGGGGCTTCTCGGGGGCCTCTTGGGGGCTTCTTGGGGGCCTGGGGCATCCAGGGAACCTCTCTGCGCCTAGAGCTCGAAATATCCGTTCGGGTCCCTCGTCTGGGCCTGCTCTTGGAGCCGTCTTGGGAGCCTCTTCGGCTATCTTGGAGGCCTCTGGGGCTATCTTGGAGGCCTCTGTGGCTGTAT